TGCCAAGCCTCATGACCCTCGCTTGTTTATTCCAACTTGCGCAAGCGCTATGAGCCCGATCATGTGCTGCCTGCCTGATCAGAGACATCATCAAGCATGACCCTGCTACATGGCCCAATGAGCTGCCATTCTGCCTGCCTGCTGTGTGTGTGTGTGTGCCCTGATTTGTCCTGGCTGGGAGGAGGGCTGTTGGGAACAAACTATATAAGGACTGAAGTGCATAATAAAGAAGAAGCCTGAACCTCACCTTGGTGTCTGTGTCGTCTCTCCTTGACTCTGCCGGACGGAGTCTTGGTTCGTGGCATGAGGTAGCCAGGTGGATCCACACCAGGGGGTTTTGCTGCTGAAATTTAAAGGTAAGGTCCGCGGGTAGCGGCGAAGGGGTAGTGCTAGTTAGGTTCCCAGAGACAGGGATGAAGTTAGGTTCCCGGAGACAGGGACGAAGTTAGGTTCCCAGATACAGGGATGAAGATATGATAGCTAATGATGCCCCGTGGTTTCTAGAGGAAGGATTTGTTAATCTCCCACATTAGAGTAGGCTTGGAAAGGATCTCAAGGAGGCAGATAAGAAGGCCCCTCTTCCTCCTGGCACTTTAGCAATTTGGGGCTTAATCCAGACCTGCCTGGAGGATAAGACGGGAAGATATACTGAGGACATAGAAATTGGAGAGCAAGTGATGGAGGAAGTGCGTGAGTGTAGGGAGCCGTGGGGCCCCCTACCCTGAAATAGTAACTATTGTCTGTGAAGCAAGCTGTTTACAGCTTCAGTCTCTGACTTCCTTTTAAGAGTAGCGGATGACTTTGTGAAAAACATGTTTTTCTGCCTCAACCTTGTAAATTTCCTCATCCTGTAAAAACATCCTGCCTCATGGTCTGGCTGTGGAATGTGCGGTAAACAGTGGAACTTACCTGCCCAGCTTCTTCTGCCCTCTGCTTCCCTATAAAAGCTTTGTGCAGACTTTCAGTAAAGGAGAATTGCTTGAACCTCACTTTGGCGTTCATGTTGTCCTTTCCTTGGCTCTGCTGGTCGGAGTCTTGGTTCGCGGCAATATTGTAACATGGTAATGGCACCATACAGCATTGTGATATCACATATAATTTAGGTTCTATTATAGGCCACTGGTCCACCCAAATGGCATCATTAGAGAGCCAGGTGATAGGGATCGGCTCTCAGGCCAAGACTGGAGTCGATCCCAGGCGGGCAGTGGCCGTTAGGATTGGGGTTGTTGGGCAAGGTGTTGTCCTTTCCCTGATAGTCCCAAGTTATTGTGGAGCATGATATCATCATAAAAGACATGGTCATCTGTGGTAAGGACTGCACCCATGTCCTCTAGGACATCTCGGCCCCATAAGTTATGGGGAACATCCGCTACTATGGGAGTAACTGTGCCCTGGTTCCCATCCAAGTCCTTTCAATATACTGGATGCGTGACCAGCTTGGTATCTTGTTTTCTGCCAACTCCTTTTATTGGTGGGCCTGGCCGGTATTTCCAATGAGGGAATTTAAGGGATTCAGTTTCTGATATAATGGTGACATCAGCCCCTGTGTCTACTAGGCCTTTTATGGCAGTTCCATCTAGGAACAGGGTCATTAGTGGGGAGTGGTTGAGGATTGGGAGAGTCCATAATATCTGTCTTGTTTTCCCTCTTGTGGGTGGGGCTGAGGGGTGCCCCAGGTGGAGTTTAAAGGAGCTGAGTCTGGTTGAGGCTGTGACCTACAGTCTTTAGCCCAATGGAACCCTCTTTTGCACTTGGAGCAGCAAGTCTTGGGGCAGGCTGTACCTCTTGGGCAGTGGCTATGAAAGTGGCCAAGCCCCCCACAGTTCCAGCAGCCTTCCCATGCACCAAAGTGGGTGGGTTTTCCTTGCAACAAGAGAGTCTCCAAAGAGGTGGTCAAAGCCTCAATAGGGCCTGCCCTAGGGTCTAAGTCTCTAGTAGCAAGTACCCATTTGTGAATGTTATCATTGCAACAGGCATGATAGCATTATGAGTAGGGATGTTTAGTCCCTTTCAAGTTAATTATTTGATAAGCACCTCTCTGGTGGGTCCAGACTCTACCCTCCACTCTACTGCCTCAGTGACACAGGTAAGGAAGTCTGTGAAGGACTCTCCTGACTGTTGAATCAAATTAAGGAAAAAGACTTGTGGATCACAGGGGGAGCAACATTTAAGGGCCTTAAAGGCCATTTCAGAAACTTGTTGAAAATAGGCATGGAGGCCAATAGTGGCCTGGGACATGGGGTCAGTATATTGTCCACATCCCGTGAGCATGTCCAACGTAATGTTGAGGCCATATTGGAGATTTAGGCATGCCTGGTTTTCAGTCTGATTGTCATAGGCTGCACGCCAGTTTAGAAAGACTGCAGGTTCTAAGACTCCCTTTAGTAAGCTATACCAATCATAATGGGTTTGTAAATGTAAGGACCACTGGCAAAGAACCTGATTGAAATATGGGGAGTCAGGGCCCGATTGCTCAGCTGCCTTGCAGATAAGAATGAGGTCAGCAAGTGGGGTGGGCAGCCATGGATTCTGCGCCGCATCAGGGCCAATGTTAACCAGAAATGCAGACAAAGGTGGGTGAGGCTTTAAGGAGGGCAGTCTAGGAGGGAGGGGCACATTAGCAGGGGAAGGGGCATGATGGTTACTGTGGAGGGGGGGAGAGTAACTCCTTCCATGGGTAATGGGGTGGG